GGCTACCATCTGGGAGCATCCGAAGCTGGCCCGAGTTCAAAACTACCTTCTTGAAGAGGTTTGCAGTGAGCAAGGAAGGAGAGGCCCCCATTCAGCGTTTTCAAGACATGAGACAGGCGCATGGCGAGTCCTTGAAAAGCTTCCTATCCCGCTTCACTGACGAGATGACCTACTGTGTGCAAGTCACCAACAGGGAAGCACTATCTGCATTGAGAGGAGGATTGAACATGAACACCCTATTCTGGAGGGATGTGCAGAATCAAGACCCAACCACCTATGACGCCCTACTAGAGATGATGAGAAGAGAGATAATCAATGAAGAGTTGATTGGGCACAGGAACAGGGCAAGCAGGGGCCTTCCACCTCCACAGAGACAGCGAGGTAGGGGGCCGACCTCCCACCTTATTGACTACCAGATGAACCGATCTGGAAATGAGAACTCCGGTCAAGCCCTGGCCACCACAACTCTGAACGCGGTACCAACCTTGGCGTATGAGGATGTCAACCCAATCGCTGACCCACATCAGATACAGGCCCAGTAGGGACCCCGTAGAGGGGGAGGCCGAGGTCGAGGTCGGGGTTTTGCACCTAGAAGTAGGTCAAATCCGAACCTCCCTGGATACTGTTTGCACCATAGGTCCTACGGGCACGACACCGCGGATTGCAGAGACTATGCACACCGCTCGCGGCAGGAACCCGCCAGGGAAAGACATAACTCGCCCCATGCCAACAGGCCCCCGCCCAGGCAAGACAACCGACATGGGCGTGAGGCGGCCGCTCCTCGTCAAAGGGATGTCTCCCCAAGGCGAAGAGAGCAAGACACGGAGAGGCCCAGGGAAGGGCGTAGACACCGAAGAAACAGGCAAGCTCAAGATGAGGCCCCTATCCACGAGATAGATACCATATTTGGAGGCCCTTATGTTGGCGGCGAAACACAGAACGCCAAAAGAAATTATGCTAGGGAGGCCAAGCATCCCCCTCTGACAAGCTACATTGTGGATAGTAGCTCTCGAAAAAACCAAGTACCACCCATTATTTTCACCCAGGAAGACGCCGAAGGAGTTCATTACCCCCACTGCGATGCGCTGGTGGTGAGAGCTGTCATAGCCCGAAATGGGCTCAAACGAATGCTAGTCGACAACGGTAGCTCCGTCAACATCTTGTTCGGGTCCGCCTTTGACAAGATGCTATTGGACCACCAGTTGACACCCACCACTACTCCATTGTAAGGATTTACCGGAGATAGCATCACTCCAAGGGGAAAGATAACACTAGCAGTAGAGATGGGAGAATCTCCCCAAACTACGATGAACTTTATGGAGTTCCTCATAGTTGATAGCCGGTCGGCTTACCACGGAGTCTTGCGTAGACCGGCCCTAAAGGAATTGGGAGCAATCACCTCCATCCACCACCTATGCATGAAATTCCCAACGGAAAACGGGGTGGCAACGGCGAAAGGGCGACCAGAGAGGTTCGCAAGAGTGCTATCTGAGCTCCATTAATAAGGTAGAGCCCCGGGACATCCACGTGATCATGGCTGATGTGGTCATGGTGGATGTCCCAGGTGACGCTCCCGCCGGCCAGGAAGATGTTGATATGATTGACGCACCACCTCTTCAGGAGTCGTTAATCGTTGATGAACTCGACCCCCGCATAATGGAACATGACCCTCAAGCGTCCCCTGTAGAGGAACTTGAGAGCTTCTCAGCCGACCCCCGAGATCCATCAAAGATGTTAAAGATAGGCAGGGGCTTATCCAACATTTTGAGAGAAAAGATCAAGGAATTCCTAGGCAAGAACCTCGACGTCTTCGCCTGGAGACATGAGGACATGGTGGGCATAGACCCCAAGGTCAGCTGCCACCACTTGAAAATCGATTCTAATTTCGCCCCGCATAGACAAAAAAGGAGAGCCCTCAATCCAGAGAGGTATGAGGCCCTAAAGGAAGAAGTTCAGAAGCTCATCCAAAATGGCTTCATCAGGGAGGCCACTTATCCGAAATGGGTCTCCAACCCGGTCTTGGTTAAGAAACACAATGGCAAATGGAGAGTAT